CAACGGTCTTAGCAGAATCGAGTGTGAACACTTTTCGAGCATTGGTGAAGCACATGAACGCACCGGACTTAGATGGGTTTAGAGCAGCAAACGGTTCGAAAGTTGCCATGTCAGGGCAAGGAGACCTTAGTGTGCATTTGTTGATGGCCGATTCATGGGGGACACAAACATGGAAACAAGCTCGCATGAAGGTCATGGTTGGACAGATTCGACGCAATGTTCTTTCAGTGACGGCCTTAGCTCATTCCGGTTGGTTTTTCTCGCAAGGACCTCACGGGTTTGACCTTAGCTTACCTTCAGCAGGTTTGCACGCTGTGGAGACTGGATACTTCGCGAATTGTCCTTGGGTTCGTTTGCGCCCCAGTGAGTTTTCTCATGCCGTGGATGCTCAACATGGAAACCCAGATTCGGGCATTGTATGTCCAGTGACGAAGGCGGAGGACGCAGACTTGGAACAGCATAGGAGGCAAGGTCATGTCCCGTTTCATCCTAACTGTTTGGAATGTGCGAAGGGTCGTTCAGTTTTTCAGCATCGACGGCAGAAGGATGGTGAACGCCAAGCAGAAGTGCAAGCAGATTTTTCGTTCATTAGTTCAAAGGGCGAAGTTTCCCGAGAGGAAACCAGTGAGGCAGTGAAAGTTCTTGTCACGACAGATTTGCTGTCCACAGCACGAGGCTATGTTGTGGTTGGCACCAATGTGGACGCCTCAAGAAGGCAGATCGTTCAGTGGTTGGATCACTTTGGCTTGAAGTCAAAGGGAACTCGAGTTTCGTTGGTTGTGCACTCTGATGCGGAGGTAGCTGTTGGTGAGATGATTGCCAAAGGCGCAGAAGGGTACTCTTTGCTTGTACGAAGAGCTGCACCACAGCAACACCAAGCCATCTTTGCGGCGGAGAGAGCTGTGAGAGAGTTGAAAGAAGGTTTGAGTGTTTTGAGAAGTGATTTGAATTTGCATGGAGTGGACATCATTTTCTCTCATGAAAATCTAGGAGATGCTCTACTATACTATACTGTGCGCTATGTTACAATCACTTTTCTAAAGCACGAGGCACTGACAGCAGCCCACTTGAAATGATCGCAGGACGCAAGCTTTCGAAACCGACGACCTCGCTGTTTGGATCCTGTGTTTTGGCAGAGTTGCCAGACTCTGTCAGAGGCCAGTCACCGAACGAGACGCGTAACATTGAGGCATGTTTCATCCACCCAGGTCTTGTACGAGGTAGTGTTGTGCAAGGTTTTGTTCGTGTGGATGGTGCACAAGAACTCATTCGTTTTACAGCCAGGAACGTTCGACCGATTGAACCATTGCAGTGGAAGGTAGCATTAGGATCAGGTGTGTTTTCTGCCTTGGAGCACCCGGCAGGGGAGTTGGAGGCTCCAAATTTGGAACGTTCAGATAAGGCACCGGAAGTGAGTGACTTGCCACCTGATGAGTTGCGTCGTTTGAAAGCGCAAGATCACCCAGTTGAACCTTCTCCTCTTGCTCCACGACTCGCACCAGCTTCAGGTAGTAGGCCACGGAAACGGAATGCTACATTGCGCATTGATCCAGTTCCCATGGAAATTCCAAGACCTCAGGTGGCGTCTCCACCCGAACGGAAGGAAACGAACACAGATGCGATCCCAGAGCCAGTGGAGGACTCAGCTTCGGTCCATGAACCATTTGTACCTACTCGTGGATGCCCGAGTTGTGAGACTGAGATGGTAGCTCCCGGTATCCGACATTCAGCATCATGCAAGAGGCGATTTGCCGAATGGGAAGCTCAGGCGAATGTCAAAGAGCGAAAGATTGGAACACCATCGGTACAAACAGAGGACAGTGTTGTACCAATGCCCACGTCAGAGCAATCCAGCAGCGCAGCAGGATCTCCAGAAGTTGCGCGTGAGCGTGAGTTTCAACTTCGCTTCAAGCGGAAAGCGGATGAAGACACAGAGACATTGGAACAGGAGATCAAGCGACAGGCACTGGAAGCACTGACGGATGATAATCCGTTGGGTTTTCATTGGGTTGAAACTGGTGAACCTGTTCAGCTTTCGAGTTTGTTGCACATTGAGGGTGTTCCTTCATTTTCCCCACTTACTGGACCAGACATGTTTGACCATGACACGTGGGAAATGAATTCCATTCGGTTTGACCATGGATATGTGAGTGAACATGTGCCTATGCAGCTTGGGGGTCGAACTGTGTTGATTTGGAAGCCCACAGCCATCATTGATGACCAGACGCTTGATGAGCTTAACTTGGAGCAAGGATTTGTGGGAATGCAAGAAGAAACTCACAATCTCGAACACTGCAAGACAGGACAGACCATTTCAGAACCAGACATGAAAGCGTTTTGTCAAAAGTATCCCAATGCACGTGTAATTTCAAGTCGTTGGGTTGCAGCGTATAAGTCACCAGAGCGCGTACGCACGCGTATAGTAGCAAAGGATTTCAATCGTGGACAATCAGCACGTAGTCTTGGGTTCAGCTCACCTACACCATCGATCGAAGCATTGCACCTCATCCTAGCTATCGCAGCAACGAGGAAGTATCGTCTTCGTGGATTGGACATAAGTCACGCGTTTATGCACAGTCCTTTAGGGAAACACATGCGTGTGATTTTGAAGCTTCCTTTGAGTGTTAGCTTAGATGATGGACAACCTGCGTTTTTGGTGTTGGACAAAGCGCTTAATGGACTTCGTGACGCATCGTTGTGTTGGCTGCAACTGCTATCAGAAACAGTCAAAACTGTTGGACTTTGGACAGATTCAGTTGAACCCTGTGTGTACAGTGGAGCAGTGTACGACAAGGAGACATATCTTGGACATGTGTTGGCCATCGTGTACGTTGATGACATCTTGTTGGCATCGTCGACGGTGGAGGCCGAGAACTTTGTTGCTGACACGATCTCCAAAGTCGTGCCCACTAAAACTACAGGGGAGGTGCCAGTTGAAGGAGGTTCATTGACCTTCATTGGCCGGATCATCCAAAGAGTTCCCTACTTATCTGGATTCAACCTTCCGAGATTTTGGGATTGACAAGGGAAGTGAGTCAGTACCTGATGTTGCAAGTCATCTAGAAAAGACGATGTCGGATGAAAGATCGAAGAAACCTTTGTCAAGCGAGGCGTATAGACGCTTCAGAAGGGCATTAGGCAAGTTGCTGTGGATGAGCCAAGTTCGACACGACTTGAAGACTTGGTTGAGCATCATTGGATGCCATCAGGCAGCACCAATGGCAGGAACGGAAGCAGCACTTCGAGCAGTACTCAGGTTCTTGAAGAGTGATATGCATGTTGCACTGGTTTTTCCTTCGCGAGATCCTTCTTTGGAAAGCCAGGTTGGTGAGAGGCAGTTGAGGACGATGAACTTGCATTGTTTTTCGGACGCCAGCTTTGCTCCGTATCGGTTCAATAAGAGACGCGGAATTTCCGGCGGATGCGTGTTCTTCGAACGATCGCTTGTTCGCTCGCTGGCCCGTCAACAACATGCACTGTCATTGTCTTCATGTGAAGCTGAGTTGTACGCACTGCAGTCTGTTTGCCAGGAGTCCATTGCTTTTGGTAAACTGGTTCACCGAGTGTTGTTCAGCCTTGAGGAGATGGATGAAGCCGATCCTGTACATGTGTTCTTGGGGTCGGACTCCTCCTCAGCGTTGCAGCTTGTGAAAGCGTTGGACATCCCGAAGAAGAGTCGGCATGTTGAAATCAGGTTGTGGATTCGAGAACAGCTTGATAGTGGACGATTGCACGTTTTGCATAGGTCTGGTGAAACCAACCCTGCGGACTTGTTCACGAAGTGCCTTGGAAGTCGACTTTTCTTTACTCATCGATATACCATTGGTCTTGTAAAGCTTAGTGGCTTGTCGGAGATGCTAGAAATCTTGCAATATGCCGTGCAATCAGGTGCTCGAGCAGCGCTGGACATCGCAATTGTGGAGGTGTGTTGTTCTGAGTACTCAAGCATTAGGAAGGCCTGTGAGTATTCACGAATTCCATATGTTGGAATCACAGCACGAATGCAGGCGAGAAGCGTGTTCGCACATGTGTACAGCAGTGGGAGCGCTCAGCTTTGTGGGTGCGTGTACATGCATCCACACCATGTTCATCTGGATCACCCTTGAGGAATTTTGGATCGAAGGACGTGGTGACGGCATCGGAACAGGAGTGGCCAGAGATCATTTCATCTGTTGGTGACTACCTTTCACTAGGACACAGTTCATCTTTTGAGTTGCCACAGGTGAACGCCATTTGGTCACGACCTGAAACCAAGGACGTTCTTTCTCAGCATGGACTTGTGCATGAAAGCCTTGTTCGCTTGTGCAGGACTGGATGCACAACTGTACAGGGAGAGCCGGTCGGGAAGACTTTGAGGTTTGTCTCGACGTCAAAAGGTTTCTGCACCGTTTTGAGAAGACGCTTTGGTACGTGTACTTGCAATTGTGAGCATGCAGCATTGGACAAGGTGGACTTTCCGGACACTGGAAACTATACGAAGCGTTTAGCCAGAGGAATTGTAGATGCAGTTCGTATTGGACGAAAGGACCCATGATTGTTTGACTTTGAATGTCAAAGGTAGTGGATTTTTGTGTTTGAAAGGGGGACAGTCTTCAGTGAACTTCATTGGACTTTCTTTCTTTCTGCGTCTCATCGTTTGTTTCAGCTTGATGCGTTGTAGATCTGTGATGGTTTTGGCCTTAGCTTCGAAGAAGGCACGGATCTTATGGCGAGACACTTAATAGCTTTCAGCAGTGCATGAGCAGCGTGTTACAGAAACAATGCACTCAGAAATTGCATGGAATTTCAACTTTGCACACGTGATGTTGCAATATACACATTCTTTGTACATACTTGAAGGTATGACGCACGCCACACTCAGACTGTTTGTCACTTTTGCGTTTGCCTCCACTCCCTTTTGAAAGCCTGGATAGGCGAACGGAGCCCCATCTAGGGCGGTGAACTTTGGTGTCCCGGTGTTTTGTGGACAGCACCGTAGCCGACGCGTTTCTTTGAAAGCCATGTTGCAAGATCCCAACAAGTGGACTGAGCGCGATGAGCGCTTGCTGGCGCTTCTCTTGCAAAAGAGAGCAGCTTGTGATGTGGAAGGCGATTTTGGACCGCCATCCATGCATGTTGGGTCGCCAGGCACAGGCGTGACAGAAGGCTATGGAGCTGGCAATATGGGTGCCATGCACGATGGTGCCAAACGGAGATTGACCGCGGACACTCCCGCGACATCCTCGGATTGGGAGAAGCTTGAACCCACGTATGTGGGTGAGGTCATTGTGGAGAATGACACAGATGAAGCACTGGTGGCAGCATTGGATGCCTCGACAGTGGGCGCCGGTGGTGATGTACACCTTGGTCCTGTGGATCTTCCACAGGGCACTGACTCATTAGAGATGTGGGGAAAGACCATGATGTCATTTGGTCAATATAAGGGCAAGTACAGCTACATTGAAGTGGCAACGGACAAGAGCCTATGGGATTATCGCAAGTGGGTCCGATCTCACATCAACCAGAGGACGAGCAAAGGTGCGCCACTGGATTTTGCCAGCTATTTGAGGGCGTATGATGCACGCCATGGGCCGACAAAGCAGCTGCCAGTGATTCCGGGAACTTCAATTGCCCGGACCTTCAAGGACGGAGATCCATAGGTGGATTGAGCCACTATGAGCTGGTTGAGTGCTATGGTTTACAAGCAGCTCGCTGGACAATGGGCTACGAGCCGTGGCGGTGCAAAAGCTCAAAAGGGGGTGTGAAAATCTGAATGGATGACGAGCGTCCCACGGGAGTGAGCATTTTGCACGCGTGGACATTTGAGCACAGCCTTTTGTGCACCGGATGTCATCAATGGATGATAGCAGAAGTGAGCATTTGAGTCGCATTTGGAAGCACAGCTTTTTGCATGCAAAGTATCGTCAATGGACGATAGGAAAATGGACGTTTTTGCGCAACGAAAGCATACCTCTGAGAGGTATGGGTATGAGCGCACATTTTTCCACCATGAGCATCACCTTTGAACGATGCACAAACCACAAGTTTCACAGCAGAAGTAGGAATGAAGTTTTGGGAGCAGAGATTTCTTTGCGAAAGGCATAGTCATGCCAAGAAATGCATTTTTGAATGCAGTGCATATCATGACATGATCTGCGCGCATGCATTTGTACAACCAAGTACACACGTTTGAACGCACAGTGTACATTGGTGGTTTTGGACATTTTTCAGTGCATGATGAACGTTTGAATGTTTTGAATGCACAGAGCATTTTTGGAAAGCATTGCATTTCAGATGTCTTTGTAAAGACTAGACACGAAATGTTTGCAGTCATGTCCGTTGGATCAGTTCCAA